CGAAGGAAAAGAAAAAAACATCTGCCAGCTGAACACCAACACCAACTGAGCACAGTTGCTAATCACAACTTGCGAAAAAAAACATAATTAATTTTCGACATATTCCCATCTGATATACGAGTAAATGATCCTATAGTGAATACATAGTACAGAGTGACTCAACTCTGCTCTGGACATTGTGTATTTCTGAGTTGGATTTTATATTGCTCGTTATATAAATATTGCTTCAATAATATTATGAATGAATTGAAGGGTAGATTTCTTGCATGAAAATGGGAAGATTCTATCTGATATTATTTTCTTTAGTCGACCTCTACAAAAAATCACATTTTATGTTCTACTTTCCGAACGGAAAACCGATTATTTTCGAAGGCAACTACTTTTCGTCCAAGACACCAACTTTTCGTCCCAGACACCAACTTTTCGTCCGTAAACACTTTTCGTTCACTCTCCTGATTTGCATATTGATCTACTGATATTTCGACACTTTCTTATTATTATAATTACCTATATTGTCATTAATCTCTAGTTAATCACATACAATTGCAGGATATTCCGGCACGCTCTGTTTAAATCAAGCAGACCGAGAGCGGCTGATGAGATCTGGTGGGTCGAAACAGTAGTGTCTCGCTCCAGCTGACAATTGGGGCAACTCTGTTCATCCTGAATCTCTAAGTAATGAGATCTAGCAGTTGAATAGGTCGGTGGAAAAATCCACTCAAGTATTTCAGGTAGTGCCATCTAATGTCATTAGAGTAGTTTACTTGTAGAACCACTCTGTAGCGTATAGACGTGAAGGTCTGTACGTGTGACTATAGATGGCAGCACCATACAGTGTGTGTCGCGATTTCTCGATCTTACCTTAGAGCTTTGCCACTAGATGGCTACAACATGACTAGAACTTCATGTTATACCCTGCGTCTTCGGAATGGGTGATATACCCGAAGCGTAGAGTTGTCCCAGTTGTCAGCAGACTGAGAGCGGCTGATGAGACCTGGTGGGTCGAAACAGTACTGTCTCGCTCCTGCTGACAATTGGAGCAACTCTGTTCATCCTAGATCTCTCAGTTATGAGATTTAGCAGTTGATATTAGATTAATGGAATATTCCTGGAATGTGGCAATATTTATTAGAAAATAGGATATACAGTGTCATTCATAAAGTCGGCATCATATGGGAAAAACTTTTATTAATGACTTATTTTGGAATTCGAGTTGGACGTTAAGTTTTGCTTCAAAAAAGATGAAAAATGGCCTACTCGATCAGGGTCACGTGACTTTCGTCACATGTTAAAAGTGACATTTTTTCAAATTAATCGCTGAAAGTAGGCTTATTTGTTCGAATATCGAAAAAGTTTACTGGAAACAGTTGTTTCTATTTCTATTTTACACATGCTTCTCGAATTTGATTTGTCTATTGCAATTTTTAGATTTTGATTTTTGTTTTTGATTTTTCGAAATTTCTGTAATATTTGGAGAATTGTTAATACCACGAAACTACTTCATACCAGTAGCTTTTTCATGCTACTTACTTTCAATTACTTATTATCACTGATTATGGACAGAAATATGATTTTCTTCAGAAAATGATAATACCCGCTTTCAAATTCTGTTATGTTTGATGCAAAGTTGATATATCGTCAAGCATTTAGAAACAAAATTCATTTAAACTAATCTTTTCAGTACTGGAAAAATAAATTCAAATGAATTTCGTTTCTAAATGCTCGAATCAAACATAACAGAATTTTGATGTTATGTTTGCATCAAACATAACAGAATTTTGAAGGGGAGATTATTATTTTCTGAAGAAAATCATATTCTTGTCGATAATTAGTGATAATTAGTAATTGAAAGTTAGTAGCATGATGAAACTATTGGTATGAAGTAGTTTTATCGAATTAACAATTTTTTTAATATTACAGAAATTTCGAAAATTTTAAAAAAATATCGAAATCTAAAAAATGTAATAAAAAGATAAAATCCGAGTCACATATGTAAAATTCAAATAGAAACAACTTTTTCAAGTAAACTTTTTCGATATTCGAACAAATAAGCCTACTTTCAGCGATTAATTTGAAAAAATGTCACTTTTGACATGTAGCGAAAGTCACGTGACCCCGTTTGAGTAGGCATTTTCCATCTTTTTTGAAGCAAAACTCAACGTCCAACTCGAATTTCAAAATAAGTCATTAATAAAAGTGTTTCCCATATGATGCCGACTTTATGAATGACACTGTAGTAGGCACATTCCAGGAATATGAGCTGCCTACTATAGGTTTTCATTTGCTGGTGTGGGACACCCCGTACGACATCGAACCAGCTATTCGCTAGTTTTCGAATAACATATTTCACAATTATGACCCATGGCATGGGGTCGCCCTGGGCGGTACCAGCGATAGCTTTGCAAGAAAAAACCACTGAGAAATGATCCTCGCGAAACTTGTTACTTAGAACGGGCGTTTGAAATTAATATAATATACCGTGAAAGTAATTTTATTCCCTCTGATCGGACGTTACTTCATACCTGTCTTGCATATATAACGCTGTGGGAAATATGATCTTCTTGCATCAACTGGTACGTCAGAAAAAATCATCTTGGGGTTAATCCAGGGACGGAATTCGCCTATAAGTTCATAAGATCATTTCAATTCATTCATTTCTGATAACTATGCAAAATATGTCGGGAATGACACAAACTGTTCAATGGGCGTGTACACCTTAGTAGAACTTTTAACTCTAACCATGTTTATAATGATCCTTTCATACATGAATAATGATTGACGACATAATTCGATCGAAAAATTAACTGGAATGTTTTATTTTTGAACATAAATGATAGTACCTGACATTCATCACTGTTTCCATATCATCCAAACAGAATATCCGAGATATCGAAATCGATATTGAAATATCTTTTGATATCCACTACCACTACTGCAGAAAAATATATTCAAGTTGTCGATTGTAGGTTGAATCATTGGAATACAAATAATCTCTATGTAGACAACGAAATGTCTCAATCCCAAAACCATTTGCACCATTATAATTTCAGAATAATCCAATATATTTCATAAACGCAGCAACATTGCTTTGTTGACCCGTTTTACATGGAGCTGCTTTGGAGCTGCGAAAAGTCAATATAGGTTAAAATTGATCTTCTTCTTGTTCTTATTATCTTTGTCCCAAAAATCAACTTGCCGATTCACCAATCTTGATGCTTTGTCAGAAATCATGTATCATTCATCTCTGTCTGGAATAGTCCACAGCAAGAAACGGTTTGCAGTGGTGAGCTAGTTTGGGTGAGTTCTATCGAATTATGAAATACAATTTTTTTGTGATATAAGCCCATTCCCATGTGCTCATCACATGATGATATTGGTTGACCAGTAAGTGTCAAGAAAAATTTGGGCCATCACAGTTGAGTTATTCAAAATATTATACGGGTGTTTCATAATTGGATGTCAATATTTGGGCAGAAAGTTTCATATGAACGTATGACCTAAACGTCCTAACTTTTGAGATACAGGGTGGTAAAAAAGGAAAAACGAAAATCGAACAGTTCAAAGTCTAGGACCTAGGAAGGGAATTTCAAATATTGATTAATTCATGAAGAGTGTGCTGACTGTCAGATTATTGTTGCTGGTGAATTACATTTCTTGTCAGTGAATGAATTTGCGAGTTTTATAGTTAATACTTTTTCAATTGAAACGCCCTGTATCTTTTTCCACAGCAATATTTTATTGAGGCATATTTGGTCCTATCGCCATATTTTGGTCCAAACAATCTGTCCTCAGCCTATTTCCCAATAGCTATGACTCACCCTATAGGGATCAAAATGAAATTGGAGGAAAGGTTCACCCTGTTGCAATTCTGACGTCATCTGTGTTCAAGCACAGTATAGACGAGGTATACAGCGTGTGTCATTTCAAACGGCCCCCCTCTATATCTCAGCTATCAGATGTGCGATCTTTACCAAATTTGTTTCGGTATGAAAAATCATCAATATGACTAGTTCCTCAAAGACAGACATCATTTTAGACATTGCCGTGCATTTTTATTGAAATGAATAGGGGTCAGTTTTTTATTAAACCATATTAGACATTTTTTCACAGGAAAACTGACCTCATAATATTGTTCTTCATGGTTTCAAAGCCACATATGTGTATTTTCATAAGATGCCTATGAAGGGTTTCAGAGAAACAGGCACATCTAAACAGCATTTTTGCGAACGTTATAATTATTTACTCGGAAACGGTGAGTTCAACATGAAAAAGTAAAACTCGTTATTCCTTCCAAATCATGATTTTCCACCTACCGGAGCCATTGAACGTTCCAAAATTCGTAGTTGATTTGAAGTCACTGTTTTATTCGCGAGACTGAAAATTAAAAAAATGAAGCCAATCCTGTTAATTCGGAATTAGGTGATTTTATGCATATGGAGGTTCGAAAGCATGAACAACAATAACATGAGGTTAGATTTCCTGTACAAAAATGCCTAATAAGATTTTATGAAAAATCGACCCCTTTTTAGTTCAATAAAAACGTACGGCACTGTCCTAAATAATGTGCATCTCTGTAAAACTGATCATATTGATGGTTATTCATATTCATACCACACAAAATTTGGTTGGAATCGCATGACTAATAACTGAGATATAGAGGGGGGGGGCATTTAGAGTGAGACACGCTGTATATCCTCAAGGTGGATGCAAGCTACATTAGAATCTAAGAAATGAAAATTGAAATCAAAGTGTCCGGAATGCCCAATCAAGCGGAATTCAATCATTTAAATTGCAGTGACTTTACGGAAACTTCTCGTTTATCAGAAGAATTAGAAAAATCTGATATTTTGGAAATATTCGTTAGACTGTATCATATCTATATGCTGAATATATGTATACTTATTGAAACACACCTCGAATCTTATCTTAGATAAGATAACATTCAATTTCGATCAATTTTATACATTGTGAAATCAGTCTATATAAATTCATGTTTGATAATGCATCACTATTTACATCTTTATTTTTCTGTTTTATGTTTCTCAAACATTATATTTTCTCAAGAAGTTGACAAATGTGCTGTAAAGAAAAAGTACAATGATATTAAAAAATCAATCGATGATAAGAGGGGTAAGAGAGAAAAATGTTTGCTGGATTCTTACCGAAGCGTGAAAAAAAATATTTTTTCTACGGCTGTAACACTGAAAATTGCTCTTGTTTTACTTTGTGCGTCGAACACGTCTGTTCATCATCCAAAAGGAGAGCATGAAAAATCCTTCTGTTCAGAATTGAAATGAAAACTGAAATGTATAGGAGTAGTATACTTATATAAACTCTGATCTTGGTGAGCATGAAACTTCAAAAAAATCATTTGAATCAGTGATATATGAGAATTAGGTATATCTCTCACAAGCAAGTTATATGACTTTATTCGAACGAACTCATTTCGGATATCGAACCATCCTCAGTAACCTGAAGTCCAGTTATTCTTTCAATCATTCTCCATGATATACACAATTTTCATCTCTCTATAATACAACAATTCAGAATTTCTTTCCTCGCCCTGTCAATTTGTCATACATAGAAAAACATACATTTTATTACTCAAATTTGTTCAAAAAGCTGAGATATTGAGAGATATTGTATTAATTTCTATGCTTTTATTTCATGTTAGATGGAATTTTCGATAAATTACTGGAAGAATATGGAAACGTCCCCCAGGAATTAGAAGATTTACTCAAAAACCTGACAGAAAATTCTAATTCGACCAGGCAAAAATTGGATGATTTTGAAAACAATAACCGGAAGTTGAATGAAAAAAATGACGATCTGTCCTCTGAAATAAATTCATTGTTAGAAGAAGTGGAATATTTGCAAGATGAACTGAACAACCTTGATATCCAAGATAAAAACCAAAGCAAGTTATTTATAGATTCTGAAAATGAAGAAAACCATGCACTTTTACTAATAGATTTTCGTTATAGAAATAAATACTGTCCCTGTAGCAATGGAGGATGTAGAAAACATTGAAAATGATCTGAACAATTGGGCAGAACTAGCTGAACATTTGGACAAAAACAAACTAGCCAATGACTCCATGAATTTACCTTACAGTATTTCGGATGAAATTTCTTTCTTGGAACAAATTATGTCAAATGAGGTGCGTTAATTCTCTCAAATTTGGAAAAGTATTCGTCGAAATCGTTGCATTTTTCCTTTAGAATGATGGCTCATGTCTAGATCATTTCGAAAATGAACTCAAAAGAACTTTCAAGGAACTATCTGAACTTCTGGAGTTTGATGGTATACTAAGAGAAACTAACGAGGTCAAAAAAATGTCCAACGTTAACAAGTAGGTACATAAAATACCATTGAATTATAATTTGTTGTAGAATCATATTATGAATATATCTTTGAAAAATATTGAACAATAGTTATTTGTGTCCCTAGTGAGTAAAGTTGTATTTTGTACCTAGTTTATCTATATTTGATTCAATAATAATATTCTCAGATAAACAGAGAAGTGCACCAAAAACGGTTAGGACTACAACTTTTGAATTATTCGAGATAGGGTTAAGCAAATTGGTGGGCAAATTGCTCATTATTTGACGAAACAATTTTTGTTCTATCACTTCCGTTTTAACTGGAAACGACACCCTGTATTGTATTCCATGTTCAGTTAGGGATTGTCATAACGAATTTATCGATACCGAGTTTGATGGGGTTATTTCAAACGATTACACGATTTCAACGATTGTTCAACAGGAAACAACTACATTCCTGGCTATATGTAAGACTTCAGAAGATTTTATTCTCAAATTCTTATTGTATGAATCGCAGATTCGTGATTGGGTTTTCTCAATTCAGATTTTCTTTCCATCTCCTGCATGATCGATATCAATTCGTGATACATCCAAAAACAAAAATATATTTTCATACTTCACCAAAAATAACCAAATCTCAGGCCTAGTGATAACAAAACCGAAAAAGGTAATTTTTCAGTTTTTTGAAACATGAAAAATCGAATACTTTCTTCACATCAGATTTATTTTCCACCTGCTAATTATTATTCATTCAGTGTCATTTTCTTTCAGAGATCGGGCAAACGAGTTGTACAAACAAGCGGAAGGAATAATAGAAAAAGAAGAAAAACTCAAGGAAACTGAGCAGTTAGGAGAGGAAATTTTACTCTTGGCACGAGAACTGGATGAACTGAAATCTGACATCGATCGGAAACAAAAATGGGCAAAGCCTAATTTCCGAGAAAAAGATTTGGAAAAATTAGAAGAACTTCTGAAAGATTGGGAAGATTACAAGAAATATGGAAAATTTGACTTGAAAACTGTCCAACAGGAAATCTATGAGTATTTGAAAGAAATTGATAGTATTGAAAAATACGTAAATGATTGTAGAAATCGACAAAAAAATGAAATCATAGAAGTACCTTATATTATAAAAGAAAAGTGTGAATTGTACCCAAAAGATCATTGAATAATAGCTTTGAGTATTCACATAATGGACAGTAATAATTTATTTATACATACAGAGATTATACACTTACTACATATATAGTGTCATCTAGCAGTGATCATATAAAGCTTCTAGTATTCACAGCTTCGTACTTGGCGTGGAAGAAAACTGTGATACAGCGACCTTATATCAGTAAACTACAGTCCACTACCTTGAATAAAAGTCTAACGAAATAATAGTTGCATACAAAATAGATAGATGTAGGTAGTATAGCAATGGAATTTTGAATGATGTCCCCTTTATTTATTCTTCTCTACTATTAAATAAATAGATTTTCATGTGTACTTACCTACTTATGTTCATGTTGTCATTGTTTATATAAATGTTAATGCATTAAGATGTATTAATGTATTAAATAATGTTGACTTGGTATTGTGAACAGTGTGTGAAAAAGTGGGTATATAGAGACATGTTGTCTGTGATCAAATGCATCAAGATATATTTTCTCCATGCCTAAATAAATAAATTCCATTTTTGTTGGGAGAATTCCAAATTGTTAAATATTCTTGCCAATTTTAATCCACTATAAGGAATAGCCTTAAAATATAGGTATAGGTACTCTAGATTTCGCTGTTTATTAGGTATACCATGAATAATAGAAATATTATGGGTTTGATATACATAGTGGAAATTATTTCGGAGTTTTGTAAATCATTCATCAGCGAGGTGACCGAACCCAAGCGTTTGCTTTGGGCACTTCGGACAAGGTCGGGTTAGGTAATTAGTAACAAAATGTTGTATGATGAGAGCTTCCATTTTTTTGTGTAATTTAGAACAATTTTTTTCTTTCCATATATCGATATTGCCAATATGTCTAATAGGTATAACTTGCACCTAATATTTTTTATCGCTTCAATTTTGGGAATACCCAGAGCCTCTATTCTGCGGAAATAATTATTTTTCTCACGAGTGATGAAAGTGCAAATGAATTATACCATCATCATCAATATTCACAAGATTATCACATCTGTTTTTGTCATAATTGATATTGTATGCATATTGAAAAAGTTACATCAATATTATATATATAATATGTACATTATAAGGAATAATGTGTTTCAATTGGTTTTGCACTAGTTACTAAGTATATCATTGATTTTTATTAACAGCGAGCTATATATTAATATCAAAATTATACAGGGTACAGAGTGAATCATCGATATAACACCAAAATATACTTTTTTCAGATTCCCCTTTTTTTGAAATGACGTCTATTCACCTATGTGTAAATGAAATACAAAGAAATGAACTGATACGTCGCTTGTCAGCTACATATTTATAATGGGAATTCTCACATTTCTTACCCCAGAACAAAATACTAAAGGATCTCTAGAAAAAAAGTTTGTTAGTTCAACCGTTGATTGATATATTACGTAATATATCAATCAACGGTTCAACACAATATGTATACTGTACAGGGGTGCAATTTCTTATCCAAGAAAGTCCAAGGCAATTCTTTCATACCAGGATTTTGTGCTACCGTGTTTCACAGGGTGGTGCCCAAAACCATGGCAAAGGGAAGGGGGTGGGCCCAGCAAAACCCAAGTCCAAAATGCATTATTCATACATATTTTTGAAATAAGGTAATTTATAATAAAATGATGTTTTTTTAGATCCATATCGTTTCCGAATGGAAAAGGATAATATTGGTTGCTTCAAGTTTTTTACACACATGCGGAACGTATGAAAATAATGCTATCACCCAATCTTATCGTTTGAAACTTCATAGAATGAGTGAAAAATCAATGTTTAAGAATTTTTTTTGATATCTTGTCTACCCAACCCAAAGACTTTCAATGTCACATCATTAGAGTGTTTTCGAGATAACTGCCAAAATCGATTTTCAGGTTGTTGAAAGATCGATCCAATACTGATAATGAAGTTTTCTCCGTGTGTTACGTTCTTTAGGACGTATTTTGTATGAATATGTATACATTTCCAAATCATCTCATTGTTCTAGTTAATCAGCAATGTGGAATAATAGCCTTTAGGTAAGTATATCTACATTATTTTATTTTCAACATCTTCATACTTGATAATTGGTCTTTGTTATTCTCACGTAACAGAGGTGTTTACAAGTTCAAATGTTCGCATAAAATTTATCGTTTTGAAAAATTTCATTGGATTTCGTCAAAAACTACTTATAGCCAATATTTCACCAACATGAAAGTGAATTATTGTGAAAGAAGTGTTCACACATGAAATTAATATATTCTATGTTAAAATGCGTTTAGTAGCAATAGTTAGTTCGTAACTGTAGGAACACTTGACCGTTTTTCAAAGAGAAAAAGTCCATAATTCAGTTGACTTAATATCAGTTCAGGGGCGTTCTGGGAGGCAATTGAGTCAAAATCTGATGTAACGCCCTGTATCTCAGAAATGAAAAAACCCCGAACATTTTTTCTTAAAACGACCTAACGAATCACCCTATTTATATGGGATATTATCAAAATGGGATGATGAATGATTGGCCCAATAAGATTTCAGACCAAAGTTTCAGATGTCGATAACATTTCAGTGCTCCCACTCTGATGAGTTTTCTCACCAAAATGTTATCTTTGTATTAGTTTTATGTTTCAGTTTCAAACGCATCCGCATGTGTTAATATTTTTGTTAGCAATTACAAATGTGTGCCAAACTTCCGGTAAGCATCCTTACAACCAATTTTATTATGAGATAATAAAATCGAAGTCGAACGATACGCAATAGAACTTATAAGAGTATTGTACAGGGTTTCCCAAATAGCAAGCCGAATTGGGTTGGTAGTCTGATGGAGATATCTAGCCAACACAGAAATAAATGACAAGGTAAATATTAAAAAAAAATCTTTGAATACTACAAAAACTTCTTTTGCTATAGCGCCAATGAAAGTTTCTGTTAATATCATAATCCATTTCTTTTAAAATCCCCAAATGAGATTCATCAACATCAAAAGACATTTCGGTACTTCTACAGAAAGTTTCTTTCATTGTGAAAAAATTTGTTCGTTGTCTCAACAAATAGTTCTGTACACTGGAAAGAAGAATTCGCTAGAATTCTGAAACATTAAAGAATAGTTCGATAGTCATAAAGAAATTTCTATTGGTATAACAGAATGTGTTCCTTGTGTCAAACGATAGTTATTTATATGTTAAAGAATGGTTCTGTTGAATTCTGTACCATTGATAGGAAATGTATTATAACCGGAACGAAATAGTTCGTTCAATGTTAAAGAGATATTCATAATCGCGAAAGATATTTCTGTACAGGTTGAATAATGGTTCTATTAATCATTTGTGTTTACAGAATGGTTCTATTGATGGTATAGAATTGTTCATTACCAGAACAGATATTTCTGTACAATTAACTAAATTGTACCGTTAATCTCAGAGATTGTTATCAGGACTATTCATACACTACACTGTTTTACCACTAACCAAACCGATTTTTTAACGCCTCGACACGTGTTTCGCTAACTATGTTAGCATCTTCAGGAGAAGATTGAAACTCAGTTTCATTTCATTTCTTGAAAAAATCTTTCCATGAATCCATCAATATATTCGAGTTTCCTTTTATCGGTTCTTGATAATCAATGTTGACCTGAAATAGTACAAGAATAATTAACAGAAAAAATAAACGCATTAGTGTGAAGAAGCTAAAACCTCTGAAACAAGATGAAAGTGAGAACAAATAACATACCAGTCTATATCCAAGTGGGTTGGTATAATGCTTCCAAGTCTTGTGAATACCATAGCAGTATGATCTTTCTTGTTCTGTCGAATGTGTTTCAACCGTCCATGGCATGTCTTGATCCACCCTTCTCAAAGATGTTCCGAAAGTGAAATGCAAGCGGAAGTAAACAACCTTTTGCTTCAATATGCTGGAAAACTGTCTCTCCGTCCACGAAAGTTTCAGAGACTGCATTGTTTATAGTAAACTGAATAATTTTTCCTACATAATCATTTCTAATGAGTCATTGTTGCAATAGATATTCCGTTTTGCTCACACACTTCGAGTAATTCGTCAAATTCTGACCTTAGAACCAGATCACCCACTTTAATTTCAACGAACTTTATAAGATGATAGATCAACTTCTTATCTTGAAAACTACGAGTAAAAGTTCATAGAAACTTCTTTCTATTTTCTTGCCTTCATTGTTGTCACAATATATTGAAGTAACCATACCTATACTCATATTAATGTAACACCCTGTATATTGATAAATGTATATCACACAATCAGGTATCGGTAGGTACCCAGTATCCAAATCTTGCTAAGCTGATATAGGGTTAAGTACACTTACCTTGATACCTATCAATCGGAAAGAAAATTGAAAACAACACTCAACATCGATGCATTCACTGTCAATACTAAATAAAAAATGAATAATGTCCTATGCGGTATAAGGGATGGTAACCAAATTTGAAAATAGACCAACACATCATGTTCGGTGACATCAGGTGAGCGTAAGCACGAATCTGATTGGTGAATAATGACATAATGTTTCTTGCGTTTCTTGAACTGGAACAGAACTATTTGTTTTATTTAAAGAACATTCTTTCGAAAGAATGACTTCACTCATGATCCTTTAATATTACAGAACTATTCGTATCCGCATGAGATATTTTCTTTAATATTCAAAGAAAGATTTTGTGTCAATTCTAACGAAATATTCCATGAGTGTTAGAGAAGATTCTATTCTTGGTATAAAATTATCATTGAAAATGTCAAAATGAATTGTACAGATCAAACTTTGATGCCAACAGTATTTTCTGTAATCTTTTACCTAGCTATTCTATCAATATTATAGAATGATAAGTGAATAGTAAAGAAATTATATATGATCGGAGACAACTACTTACAGAAATTTATTATAAAATTAACAGAAAATCTGCAACATTCTGTATCTTTCGTGACAATGGTTCTGTTTATGGTAAAAAAATTCTGTAACGCTGAAATAATTCTTCGTTAAATTCGATACA